GTATAAAAGTCATAATATTCCCGATTAAGCTATTTTTTAAATATATGAATGATTAAAATAAAACAGTAGACGAAAGTAAAAAAAAAAACAAAACAGGAAATGAATGGTGAATCAACCCACAGACTTGACGCTTTAGTGACGCCTAGTGGACTCCTTATCCTATTACAAACAGTACAACTCCAAAGACAAAAATCAAACATCATCATTTAATAAATGAACTTGCAATACAAAACATCTGTGCAAAAAATATTCAGACACATGACAAAGACAAGGCCTCTATTGGTCAATTTGCATGTAAACCTTCTGTAGCGGTACGGCTCTTCTTTTGAATAGAAATTTCTGTTTGTTTTATAAAAAGCTGACCAAGGATAAGAAACAAAAAAGGCACTACATTGTTTTTTTGCCAAGTAAAAACATACTTGAAATTGATAAAAGTTCACAGTCTTGTGTACAAGTGGTTTGTTCGTACTCRCATCCTTTCTGTACTGGAGGTCATGTTGAAGTAAAACAAATCCTTAGACGTACATAGGTAGACATTTAAAAGTGATTATTTACTTAAAATGAACTAAATAACTGGAATAAATCCTTCCATGGGACTTACAACTATCAGTTGCACTGCTGACTTTAGTGGGTTTAATTATTGCCTGTGGGATAAATTAACTTAATAAAATTAATGAAACAAAACAAAATTTACTGTGATTTTCTTTGCAGCACATTCAAATTGATAAACTGCTGGGACACGTTTTGTGTTCAACTACAGTAAAAGTACATGTGTGAACTGTATGATTGTCAAAAATACAAATACAGAGGGATATTTAACAATTCAAATTAAAATAGTTGAAACCATGTTTTTTTGGCCTTTAAAAAAACTAACAAAAGCTTCATATTTAAAATCTAATTGATATCAAATAAACAAAATTCTAATCAGTTACAAAACAAAACTATTTTCTTCATTTTAGGAAATAAATGGACATTAGACACCTTGACAAATAAATACAGCTGTAACCAAAGATATGAACAAGAATACTTCAACATTGTTACATAAGGTTAAATTAATCATTTARTGTCTTACCTGCAACAGACAGCAGTGACAGCGACTTTAGTTTAAAGAATTTGTGAGAAGTTGTCAGAGGAGTGAAGCTAACTGGGAGCTAATTCAATACACTTAAAAACTTGCTTATTTTGCACAATATCTTTACTTTCATAATCGCTTGTACCGTCTGTTGTTTTAGGGTTAAACCTGCCAAACTTCAAGTCACTGATTATCAACAGCTGTGTGCAATTACCAGCATATCATTTTAACATTTAAGCTGCTAGGGAAGTTTTTCAGAGTCGTTGAATATAGTGGAAATTCATTTTTGAGTGGCAGTTTGCTTGACTTAGCTGTTCAACTGGGGCCCCCGAATTGAGTTCATTTAGCAGAGGACAGGAAGCTTGTTGACTGAATGTGTTCATGTGAAGCCAGCACTAAAGTTTGATGCTATACAGGCTGTGCTGTTTGGGGACTGTTGAGGACAGCTGGAGCACAATGAAAATACACGCATTCATGCTTAAAGGGGACATATCATGCAAAATCATTTTTTTTTACCCATTAAATGCAGTGGTGGGAACCAGTCCACTAAAGCGCAAATCCGCTAATTGCGGACCTAAATATTTTTGTTTGCGCTTTAGCGGTATGACCAATTTTTATAATTCATAAGCAGATTTGCACTTTCTAAAATTAAAATGCAGTATAGCTAACTACTAATTATCTACCAGTCATCATTGTCTTGAACAGCAGAAGGTATGGCTGTCAATGAATCACAACACACATGATCTGTCCTACAGTACCCCTCCCAGATAAACACGTATTGAGAAGGTATACATCTTTGCTGACTGTTGCTCTCGGTCAGGGTTCTCATTTCCCACAATGCTTTGTGTCTGCTTACGTAGCAGGAAGGCAATGTTTAGAACTTCCTTTCCCAGCAAAAACAGTAAACGTTTGTAATCCATACTATAATTTTGTATGTATTGATTTATTTTACTTTACAATCGGAGCTCCTTTTTTAAAAAAAAAAGTTTAAATGCTGGAGCTCAATACTTGATGTAATTGGTCGAAGCAATCCACCAACGGGGTTAGACAGACATCTAGTGGTCAACTGGAGCAACTACATGAAAAATTTTCGTTTCCTGTCACAAATCAAATCCGTCATGTACCTAGAATGCATCGCTTCAGTTTTCCAATAAACAGTTTTAAAATTACTTTATTGATGCTTCTTTAATGAAAAATCTACAACAAACAAAAGAAAAAGACAAAGCAGCAGCCGAACTAGCAATCCTCAACAACTTTCTAAAGAATCAGCTGAACTAGCAATCCTCAACAACTTTTTAATTTTTACACTAGGAGCCAAAGTTCTGTTTCAGGAAATCACAACCCCAGCAATCTGCGCTTCAGCTGTGTAAGGATTCATACACCGCTAGTTGGCAGTGTTGTGCATATAGTGTACATGAATTGTTGCCAGATAGTAAGTGTCAAATGGAACTTGCACTTTAAAATTTGCTTCTGCTAGCTTTTCTATGGCATAAGCGTTTTTGAAATTCCGGACCTAAATATTTTCATTAGCGCTTTAGAAATTGCGGAGCTAATTTTTGGGTTAGCGCTGCCCACCACTGGTTAAATGCATTTTGTTGTGAACTTGAAGTCTGTAGGAGTGCAAAAAATTAAAATTTAGTCTCTTCTGGTGCTGTGTAGATATCTTTATATTCTGTTTGGGTCATGTTTTACATTCTCTTCAGTTTTTTCCATTTTCTGACATTTTCTGAACTTTTACATCAATTTATTTGTTTTGGGATTTCTAAAATAAGGTCTGGACTTACCAACTAAAAATTTGGTGGTCTTCATTCTTGTCCGGCTCTGGGTCAGACTCTGGCTCCAATAYGTAAGGCTGGATGGACAAGTCTTCACTTGTTGACATCTTTTAATTCACTTGTAAGTAACGCCTTTCTGGGCTGCTATATAGTTGTAAATCCATCTTTCAGGCTTGAATGAACCGCTTTGGAAACTGGAGGTGTGAAGTGCCTCATTTGGATTTAAAGAGACAGCCTCAAAATGAGTTGATCTGAGACACACCTTAGGAAAGGGGTGAAAGAGGGGCTTGTGGAGTTACAATAAGGAGGAATACATTGCAGTTCCACTTTATATAGACCCCARCTGAATGATTTAAATGTGGAAAAAATGATTTAACAGCATGATATGTCTCCTTGAGAAGTCTCAATGTTGGTTTTGAAAATGAAAAAAACAAGAAAAAGAAAACATTCAGTTGTCATTTTGTAAGGGATTCTGTTAGAAATCAAAATGCACTCTTATAATCGCAGTTTGTGGCAAATCAGATCATTTGGATTCCACTGGAAGTCGTCAGAAATGCACGCTGTYGGGCAGGAACAGAATCATGCTCAAGTGTGTTTCTACAGTCCAGAGGTAAAAGTATACCTGTGTGATTGAAACACAGCGCTGACCTTTCTAACTAAAGCCACCCGTTGGTCTTATTCTTGCTAGTAGCCCTTTTAGTTCTCAACTCAGTACGTCACAGCACTGATGAAAACCCCAACGGTAATTAAACATACTTCTGTTGTTGCCAAATTGTAATAAAATCCATTACAAAAGGAGTGGGGGAGGACTTGCTATGTTTTCCATTTCCTTTACAAATGTCTTAATAAAAAGGTTTTTTGACTATATATTTATATGTATTCCATTCATTCAGTCAAAACTTACGTACTGTATTTACCGAGGTTACCATAGTACCATTCTCAAACCACATTTGTAAGTACACTTGGTTTAAACAGAAGGGCTGTTTGTCATACTCGCTCCTGCAAAAGTCTTTCTGCACAGCGAGGAAGTGCGAACGAGCCAGCATCTGTTGGCTCTGGCCATGACCAAAGTGGACTGTGATTCTAGTTCTCTGGCTGAGAGGCTAAACGTCTCGTGTAAGAGTCCAAGAACAGGAAGGAGAGGGCGCTCTCTACAGGTTAGCCGTGATGATGGAGTCATTGTACATCAGCATGTCAGAGTCGGGCGTGAGCAGCGCCGACGTTTGCGACACGTGGTCGAGCTGCGTCACCCCTTTTTGGGAAAYTTGTCCGTAAATCTGAGCCTGCCCCCCGCCGCTGCCCGGCATGACGCAGTGGGAAAGCAGCGGCGTGTTGGCCTCGTGGTTGGAGCCCGTGGTGGAGGGCACGCCGCTGACGTGGCCCGTGCTGGTGGAGCCGCTGGCGCTGCTGGGCGAGCGGCTTTTGGGAGGCGGCAGGTGGTGCTGGATGACTCTGGTGGGCGGGGCTGGAGGTGCAAAGTGAGCCGGGAAGGCCGCGTACCCCGGGGGGATGGGGTATCCGTTGACGGGGATGAAGCGCTGATGGGTCTGGGTCACGGCCATCGGCGTCCAGGCYGGGATGGGAGCCATCTGCCCCGGCGCCGGGATAGCCTGGGCCGGGTAGAGGTACCCAGCGGGGCCAGTGGCGTAGCGAGGGTTGCTGAGGTTGCTGACGGGGCTGGCGCTGAGCGAGGTGGTCTGAGTGGTGGCGTTGCCTCCTCCACCAGAGGGGGTGCTGGAGCTGGCGTGGGAGGACAGCCCCTCCCAGGCCCGCAGACGGGTGTGGATGTCTTTGAAACGAGGTCTGCGTGCCGGTCCCTCCTGCCAACATTCTGTCATCAAACCATAAAACCTGCAAGACAACCATTACCTTAGGATTACCAACAATTACTGATTTTATTCCCCTCAAAATGTCTGAAATACACATTTTATTGACTATGTTTTATTTAAGTTTTTTAGATATTATTGTTAAATGTTGCACATTTAACTTTAAACCACAGCTGACCATATTAAGTAAGTAAATAGATAGGTAAGTAAGTTAGTAAGTAAATAAGTAAGTATTTAATTTAGTAAGTAAGTTAGTAAGTATTTAAGTTAGTAAGTAAGTAAATAAGTAAGTAAATATTTAAGTTAGTAAGTAAGTTAGTAAGTATTTAAGTTAGTAAGTAAGTAAATAAGTAAGTAGGTGAGTAAGTTAGTAAGTAAGTTAG